AAGCACATCCATTCTTTAGCGCCTTTTGTATAAATAGATTTTTTATTGATTTCAGAGAGAGGATGGGAGAGGGAGAGAGATTTAGAAACACCAATGATGAGAGAGAATCACTGAACGGCTGCCTTCTCCATGCCCACCGGGGATTGAGCCCTCAACCCAGGCCTGTGCCCCAACTGGAAATAGAACTGTGATCTCCTGGTTCATAGGTTGACGCTCAACCACTGAGCCACACCAGCTGAGCTTTTCTTCAACTCCTTTAAAACTCTGACCAGGATACTTTTGTCCAGGTTTCCAAGATCTCTGCATGGCAGTTTCTTCTCATCTTTCCTGTTTCATGTCAAAGTTCTTCATAAAGTCTTTCATTATCATTTTAAGAGACCCTAACCCCAATATTCACCCTACTCCAGTTTCTATCACATAGTTCTTTTATGTCACCTATCTATATCTAAAATTATCTTTGTTATTACTTGCTTATTGTCCCCTCTCCAGACTGCAAGGTTTGTGATATTTGGGAATTTATCTGTCATGTCTGCTGCTGGGTCCCAAGTACCCAGAACAGTGCCTGGGATATAATGGGCCCTTAATGCGTGTTTGTTGAATAAAGGAGTGAATAAATCATGAATCCCAATTGAGAATCTGATGACAGATCTGAACCCATTCCTTGGGAAAAAATGCCCTTAGTGTTTTGTATATGATTTCAGGAGGTTTCAAAGCCCTGCAAGCTTATAGAGGGGTTTAAACCCCTGCATTATAGCTATCCTGTTTCATAACGTTCTTTCTAAAATTGATTTTGAATGTTGTTCTTTGAAATTAGACATGAGTATAAACTTTAAAAGCATGTTTTAGGTGCAATACAACAAACCACAAGCCAATCATTCCTCACTGGTTTTGAAAAAAATAGATCCCCAATATTTACATTAATTGATCCCTAATGATCATATTTCATTGAATCAGGATGACTTTGTGGTATAAATGTTAATTGCTTACCCATATCCAGTTTTCCTCTCCTTTGGGAAAACTGGAAGGATTAAGCTTCCCAGCCTCCCTAGCCATTGGGCACAGCCATATGACTAACTCTAGGACTGGAGACAGAAGTGACGTCACAGACAGGATGGTGCATTCAGCTGCTGGTGTGAGATTCTCTGGGGCTCTACCTTCTCCTGTAGTAGTGACTGCAGAAGAACATGATGGTATGGAGGTGCAATGCCAAGCCATCACATGGAGGATCCCTGCTCTGGAGAGTTACACAGCAGGCTTTGTGTGAGCAAGGATTAGAAACCTTTGTTGTTTTGAGTCCCTGAGATTTTCTGATGATTTGCTTTTACAGTATAACCCGACATAACCAAAATATACCACTAGTTGGAAAATGTACTATTGTTTCACACCATCGAGGGAAAAGAAACTGTCATTTATAATTGTAAGAATTCATTATAAGATGCATCACAGTCTCTGAAATGTTAAAATATGAAAAACGTGAACCTGTAATAAAATACAGATTGTTAAAACGAATTCATTAAAACAGGTTATCATAGTGTCAAGAACCCCAAATCTAGAGTTGGACAGAAAGATGGGTTCAAATCCCAATACTTACTAGCTTGTGACTTAGCAACTTAGCTTGTGTAAACCTTATTTTCTTCATATGTGAAGCTGTGTCATAGGATTCTGTGAATATTATATGAGATAATATATAATGAGTTCAGCATAGTAGTTATTCCACATATTTTAGTCCCATGTTTGGTTAGATCACAAAACATTCAAAATCAACTTTAATTTCAAACAACAGACAGAAAATCTCTTTGTAAGTTTGTTGCCATGTCATACTAATCAATCAGCAAATACTTATTAATTCCTTACCTTAGGTTTGAGGACTGGGCCTCTGAGTTAGGTATTCTCTGGTGTATTTTCTAGGTAAACCAGGTTAGAATAAATATCAGAGTAGTCTTGATGAGTAAGTGAAGTCACAAAAATATACCTGAGGAATGTATAAAAGGTCAGTCCTTACCCATTTTGATGACTGATAGGATGGTAAAGGGGAAATTGAAAACCTTTTCTATGTCCAGAGGTGTGTGTGTGTAAGAGAGAGAGAGGGAGAGAGAGGGAGAGGGGGGGGGGAGAATGAGAATGCTGGTGGGAAGTCTAATGGTAAATCATAGTAGCAAAAGAGTAGCTCTTCTGAGATATGTATGAATGTTTCTATCCACATAATGTTACACTCTTACAGACACTATGATGTTATATAGGGAACATTATTGGCCTCTTGGTATGTCCAAATTCATAAAGCAACAACACTTTTTATAATTGATTTCATCTATAGTATATTTGAAGAAACCTACACCTTGTCACTAACAAGGTATAACAATCATTAGTTCTGAAGTTCATTCTAGACTAAAAGTTTCCTCACATATACTTTAGGAGCTTTTATTTTGTCACCGAAGATATGCATTGTGGATTCTAACACAATGTTCTCACATCCGTTTTCTGGAGGATATATGCCTGTGAATATAATTTTTAAAAAATTCAATGCCTGAAGCATTGCAGAGTAAGTACTTTTCTTTAAAAGAAGTATAGCTGCCTCTAAATATAACTCTGGGCTACAGTTCACCTTTTCTGTTTATTTTATTCTTAACTTGTGAAACTGTATCTTAGGACATGGGGTATATAACTTGTTATTTGATATGAACTGACCAACAGTGAATCAATTGTAATGGTTCTGGCACCAAAGGAAATGGAGGGGACTTAAATGTGTTTCCAGAAGGCAAAAAGCTTCTCTTGGTGTATAATTTACAATGTAGGCTGCAATTTTAGAATATTCAAGAGTCCATAAAAAGTTTTCTCACTACTTCTCATTAAAGACCAAGAGGACAAAACAGCGAAAACAAACTAATTCCAACCCACATATTATTTATCAGATTTTTTAAAATGAAATTCATACTGAAAACCACCAAAGACCTCCCCGTCTTCTCTCCCTTCGGGTAACAGCATTGGATGGTATTCCTCACTGTGAAACACACCCAGCCTCACACACTTGTGTTATCATCGGTCCAGTAGGGGCGGAGGTGGAGTAGCTTTAGGGCAAACAGCCTTGGGCTCCTTGCTGCACGGGTGTCTTAGGTTCGCTGTGGGCAACAGCAGGCTTTGGGACCAGGTTAGAGGGCTTGGGCTCACCACCTGTGTATACCTGGGAACGTTCTCGGGAGCAACTGGAAAAATCTTTAATAGGGAATAGGGAATGCTGTGCCGCCGAGCGCTCCCTGGAACCTCACCAGTCCTATTCTCTTGGCTTTTCGGCGTCCTGGATAGCCGCCCCAGGATTTTTAACATTTCTCCTGGTAAGAGTTTCTCGAGATGGGGACCCCGAAGTACACACCCAGATATCTCTAATTTGACGTTCAAGAAACAAAAGAATGCTAAGATGCAAATTAGACAAAGTAACACCCAGAATGAGCCTCGTTTGACAGGCCAAACTGGGATTTTAACGGAAAGCTAACACATACCCCCCACAACGAATTCATTCTATCTTTTAAGTTAAAAAAAATGTGTAATTTTAAGTTCCACCACTGACATGAGCAACACTCCACAATAACAAGCGGCGGAACAATGGACACCCCCACATCGCATTGTCAGGTAACTGCCAAGTGTCGCGGCGAGGGAAAGCGAAGCCCGAACGTAGGCGTGTCCTCCGCAGCGTGTGTGGGGTTCAGGGCTGCGCGTCTCACCAAAGCCCCATCCGACCGTCGTGCCAACGCCTCGAGCCAGAGAGGGACGCACACAATCTAGGTTTGGCCCTAGGGGGCCAACGAGGGGGCGCGTGGGCGCGGGAAGAGAGCGAGGCTCGGAAGAGGGGGTGCGCGGAGAAGTCCCGAGGAGAGAGCGCAACCGGGCGGAGTGGGGGAGCATCCCCCGGGGCGTGGCGCGGCGTCCCGGCTCCTGGAGAGCACTCGGTCCTACGAGGGTCCCTGCGCTCACAGAAACACGCAATTTGGGGGCTTAAACCCAGGGCACGCGGACAGGGTAAAGCTGAGACAAGTGTGTGTGTGTGTGTGTGTGTGTGTGTGTGCGCGCGCGCGCACACACACACACACACACACACACACACACACGAGGGTAAAGAAGAAAAAGGAAAAGAGGCTGAATACCCAGGCGTCCTACTCCTAATGGTTCATTGAGAGGCAAAAGCTTTCTTGCAGGCGCGACCGTAGCCCGCGTCGCGTTGGGGACCAGCCGGGCAGGGTGCAGGACCTCTCCAAGGGACCGCCAGCCCTCACGTGCACCGAGGGTGCCCTAAGGTGCCTCTCAGGGGGACCCTCTATTCTGGCAGCTGCGGGGAGGTCAGGAATGTGGTTTCCTTCCCGGGCCCCGGCCCTGCCATTGGGCGGCAAGCTCAGTCGGCCTTCCCCCGGCTTAGGAAGGCGGGTCGCTGGCATGGCGACCTCGGGACCCCACGCCCTCCCACCGCTCACCCTCCTCCCTTCACCCCCATTCATTATTTCTCAGCGGCTTCTGGTACGGCCACCCCACCCAC